GATTCACAGGTACACCCGCAAAATTAGTTCCGCAAGTTCCGCTAGGAAATTTCGCGGTTGAAGCTTCGCCATTGGCGTTAGCAATCTCCCCTATAATCTCTGATTAGCGTTGCTGATCTCCCCAGAATCTCTGGTTAGTGCACCAAAAATCGGAATAAAAGAGGAAAGATTTCAATAGGATTAATTTAGGGCAAGACCGGTACCACTTCCTCGAATTTTTACATGTTTTTATTAAATCGTTCACAGTTAATGAATAGGTTTCAAACGAACTATCATTGATTTATTTTCAGTTAATGTTCGATTAAAACAGTATTTGTAATACTCGTATTTTGAGGTTATGGATGAACCGATTTATTTACACTAAACTCATATATATCCTTTTCTTATAAGTTCTTTACAAGAGATAAATGGCCTGATCCACTCTGATGGACTCTCACTTTTTTACTATTTAGGTACATAAGATCTTGTTTTGATTTATGCCTCTAAATCACAGGAAAGTTCTTCAACTTTATTTATAGCCATGTATATGCGAAAAACGTCTTTCATCCGGTTAAAGATATTCATGAATAAACAAATGTGTAATGGACTTATTCGGTTCAATGTTTTGAACAAATTAGATAATTGGTTTCATTTTCAGAAAAGTATCGAAGGTGAAGAAATTTGGACGAAATTAATCAAATGAAATTAATGGAGGTGTCTCGACCAGTTGAACTACCACTACCTCAAAGAAAGTACGCCAATACGATATTGGGAAAGAAAATGCAAGGTTTAAGATTAGAGAGGAACATTCAAGTTGTAGATTACCACGAGGCCAACAGCAGGAGGTAGTCGTGCGCAAGTTTTAAATATTTGTCGGATTTAGCAGGATCTGGATAGTATAATATGAGACAAGTAAAACAAAGTAGTTTTTTACGATGTATGGTACTAGTAATTTACGTTATAAGGCCTGAAAAGTATTTTTGTGACAAATTTAATCGTACTGTGCACCGAAAGCGCAAATGCAAATTATGTTTAAATTGGCCAGGAAAATACTTTTCATCATGATATACCAAAAAGTAAATTTTCAGGTGCACGAAGCGAAGCGAAGTGAAAATGACTTTCCCACACATTGCGAAGGAAAATATTGTTCGCAAATCGTGCAGAAAGTTGTTTTCGGCATGTGGGATACTAGGATATAAAAATAATTTTTTCGCACTTGTTACGAAATATACTATTTCAGGAAATTCACATATATGATTTTTTATCATGAGTCCCAACTAACCAAGTTCTGAGCAGGCCTAGGCTTGTAAGTAGCACTTACCAGACCTAGGTATAAACAGAATGAGGCTAGGGCGGGCTAAATGATAATAAACCAGTCCAATCTACTGTGTGTAAAGTGACATTTTATGCACACTCCACACAAAACCCCACTTCCCACACATCGTGATGGAAGATACAACACGATACTCACGAAATAGTAGTTTTTAGACTCGTGAGATTATATCGGTCGCGCCTTCAGCTCGTACCCTAAACCAGCTCATAGGAACTATCCCGCAACCATATTGGAATATACTAGTAATACCTGCCTCTAAAGTGCACTTCGAAGCCGTTGTCTGCGTGTCATATATTATTTTACGAAAAAGGGTTAAAATGCTTTTCGGAGCGCGTGGCATATGTTACTTTATATTACGAGAGCCGACCAACCAAGTGCTTTTGTTACCCTAGGGACGTAAATACAAAGCAAGGTGATAATCAGATAGTTACGTCTGTAAGGCAATAAGAGCACGAGGTTCGGTAGACAATGTATTGGTTCGACTTGTGGTATAAAATGTCACTTCTCATACAGATGGTTAATAAAATAACTACGTCTTTTTTGTTTTTCCGTACAGTTTACAGGAAATTTCATCAGCAATCACCGAAAAAAATAAGTTAGTGGAATGTCAACTAAATAAGCGATTAAATGTTACTAATGGAAACCAAATTTCTGAACAAATTGGGTGCAACAATTGTGAAGAAAAAATTCATAAATATGAACAAAATAAGAAAAAACGACGCAATAATGTAAGATTCAAAGAGAAGAGGATCTTTTTGTTCTAACAATAAAATAGTTTTTTTTCGTAGCTCCCATTGCCGGCCGATTCGAAAAAGCGCCAGAAAATCACATGGCCCTGATTTTATACTGACTTAGGATTATTTCATCATCTTCATATCATTCAATCAGTTAAATTCTGTGAAGGATTTGTATAAATATTTTTAAATGAAACAGAAATCTCAATGGTATAGGTATCCACTAAGGAAATTGCTTTACCAAGAGAATTCTTCTTTAGAAAAACTAGTGTTTGTCTTCAATTCCATCAGTTTTTGTTATGTTTCTATGCATATTAGTATAAGCTACTATTTATAAATTTTCTTACGTCGCTCTTTGGGTTATCCAAGGCCGCAGCGCGGATCATCAAATTGTTTATGGCTGTATATAATATAAAATATCTTCTCAAATTTTTCAGACTTTTCTGATCATCGTGTGAGCCTTTGAAGTGTTTGCAATTGCCGTTAAAATGAATTTGATTTTGTTTTCAAATTGCATTCGTTCACGTGAAATTATTCAGAGAGACAGAAATAATAGTCCGAAAACTAATTCCTTGGATTAATACCTGAGAAGTATATCTGCAAAGGCTGTGTTACAATTTCAAACCGATCAATTCAGGCATTTTTCAGTAATCGTAGTCACCAACTTTGAAAAAATAATTTTGAGAAAAATGCATTCAAAGTTTTCGAAGAAATTTGCACATAGATTAAATTTTTTTTCCACTTACATGGTGTTATATATTGCAGGAGAATAAAATGAACCTTCTGTAGCATTAGCAGCTTCTAGTATGTCAAATTGATATTGTCTATGAGCCATTATTCCCTCCCGCGGACTCTCGAATCGGAGATCGCGATGCTCCTCATCGACATATGCATGGACATTGGGCCCAGCTGATAATCCGATTGCAGTCATATAGTACAACAGTAAAGTTGCACCTTTAAAGACTGCAGCGGCAATATGCGCAGCTATTTCAACCATTTTTTAGCCATACAGAATGAATTGTTTAGTCATTTTTCATATCGATTGGTTATAGCTTTCATTGCTGTTTTGCGGAAAATCACCACACGTCATCCTGCTATTTTTTTATCGCTGAGGTCTGTATAGATATGGAAAATTGCCAAAAATCACATGCTTATATCTCGGAAAATACTCACCGGACCACTTTGGCATTTTCAGGGAATATATTTGGATATATATATATATATATATTTCGATATTGCCAGAAAAATCGACTTGTCGAAAATTTTAACTGTGTATGATTTCTTAAGGCAATAGACTGCCGCGCGAGAGGATTCAGTTCGAATCTGAACTCCAGTGGACAAATGCATCTACTGCATTTTCCACTATGTTATTATTACTTCTTTATCTTCGAATCTCGAGTGCTTCATCTCATATTGTTTATTATGAGGGAAAGAGCTGATGCAGTAAAAATTTTGTGAGGATGAACGAGCTGATAACGAATTATCGGGTAGTGGATGGGCCGGTCAAAAAATACACTGCACGTGGTTTTAAATATTGGCCAAAGTCTATATATTTACTATGAAAAGCCACTGAGCTGAGCAAAATCGAGTCCATATTAAAAAAAAAATAAATGAACGACTCAATAGAATTGGAAGGAGCGGACGGAGAAAAAAAGATTCATAATTCGTAGTAATTATCCACTGAGCTGCTAGGGGAGAAACGCATATACATACATTAACGATTGATCGCCCAATGAGAGAGATAGGTAGCCCACAAGGTGACACGTGATCTAATTTTAACGTGTCACATTACTTCACATTTTTTCACGTGTCACATACCTCACATTACTGAAAAATGCCTGAATTGATCGGTTTGAAATTGTCACATGACCTAAATCAGAGCTAGGCAACCTCTGCTTTGAGAGCAAGTCGTGCTCTCGACCTCTACATGACAAAAGGTAGGCGAAAGTCCATTGTATCGGGTGATGCGGATTTACGGCCGAGGTCCTAAAGATCCTTATCCGCTGAAATCCAGCGAAGGAGGGGTAACGCTTACGTAAAGAAAGAAAAGAAAAATGTCATTGAAAAAGAGGAAAACCATGGAATTAAGTCAAAAAAGGAAAATTTCAAATTTTCCGTTCCCTAACGTTTTTATTCATTTTGGAAGCTGACATGACAAATAAAATGCAAAAAAAAATCGGTTCAATTCCAGGGGTGAGGAACAAATTCCAATTTCATGTTTCGGTGGTCCCAGAATTGTTTATTCAAGAAATAAAATTGATTGAAGTGAAAATGTTAATTAAAGAAAATTAAAAAAAAAAAGAATTATGGAAAAAAAATGTCGATTTTTTATATGAAGAAATAATATCAGCCAGTAAACAATGCAGACATTGGTATTTTTTCTTTCATATATTTTTCGGAAAGGTCGTTATTGAACAAAAAATTTTAAAAGCAAGTTAAAAAATGCCAATAATTCAGAAAGTTGAATTTTTAGAATGATTCAGTTTTTTTCATGCATAATAGTTAATGCAAAGAACCGACGGTAGTGGCTGTGCGGTTAGAGTGTTGGACTAGCATGCCAAGGATCCGGGTTCGATCCCGGGCACCGGAGGTCAAAAATATATAGCGCTCTGATCTCACGGTTTCACTGCCGAGCGGCAGTCCTGTCAAAAGGACGACTGTACCAGGGCAGGTTTTTCCCTCAGATAAGGTTTTCCCTCCCTTTCAGCAAATGCGGTACAGGGGTTTGGGGGGTGGGAAGGGAACAAATCGTAAAAACCCGAAAGGGTATACGAGTGAAAGAAAATTTTTTTAGTTAATGCAAAGAGAGCGCCTTCCAGAGGCTTTTACCTCCCTAGTGGCGAAGCATTCACTAATCCTCCCAGATGTCAAGAAGTTATTCCTTGAAGACTCCCTGGTCTCCATGATCTCGGACGACTTACTCCATTACACTTGTACAAGAAGGGCTGAGTTTATCCAAACGAGAAGAAACTTCTTCAAAACACTGACATCCTATCATGCTGCAAGGCTAGCAGAAATTCCTCTATCAGAATTCCACCTGTTTGAGGAAAAACAAATATCGGATTTCTTAAATTAGCAGAGCGGTCTCTTCAAGGTTTTTACCTTTAAGTCTGAACGCCCCCAATTCAAGGGCTCGAAGTCCTTTCGCCCCCAGACAACCTAATTCAGAACATACCTCTTATGAACATGGCCCGATAACAAAACCTTCATTCAATTCATCCATTCGAAAACCGGAAGCGAGATCATCAAAAAACCTATCCAAACGCAAGGATTCAAGAAAGGGAAGCTCCCACCAGCGGAGAGCATGACTATTCATTCGAAGGGGGTCGACCGAGCCAATTCATTCCCCAATGGATCAAAGCAGGGGCTTCAAAACACATTCTGAGTAATTTAAAGGGCTATTCGATTCCTTTTGTCAAAAAACCCCCAATCATTCCCTTTACACCGTCAAGCGTACGGACCTTTTCAACAAAGAAAACAGTACAAATGTCAATAGAAATCGGATCAATGCTCCAGCAGAAGATCTTGGATGTAGCCATTTGGGATGCAGCATTTATATCCCTGATGTTTCTCATCCCAAAGGCTGACGGAAAATTTCCTCAGATTTTCAACCTCCGCTGTCTGAACGAGTATTTTAATCGCCCGAAATTTAGATCGATGAATCAACGCAAAGTTCCATCCTTCTTTAAAACAAACGAATATTTTATAAAAAAAAGATCTATCACAAGCATATTTGCACGTCCTTATGAAGAAATCTGACTGAATAGTCCTCTACTTATCGCGCCTCTACAACCCCTGTGTGTGTGGCCTTCTCGAGAATAAGCGGTTGGTTAGCGCATATTCATCGGCAGAAGAGTTTGCGCTAATGCAGATCTTGGTATATCTAGACGACTTTCTGGTAACCCATCAGGACGCCCAGAAACTCAAACGTCAGGTTCTGGAGATAACGGATTTTCTCGGCTCTGTGGCCTGGATAGTCAATGTTCGAAAATCGTCAATCACTCCGTGCCACAGAATCGAGTGTTTGGGCATCATCTGGGACACCAATCTCAACGAGATGGCTCTTCCGATCGACAAGAACACGAGGAAGCTGCCTTAATTTTCCATCTCGTTATGATGAAGTGATGTTAGGTCCTGACGAGCATTTTGTCTCTCGGTTGGTAGCCGAATCAGTGATTTTACCCAGTGTACCAGATCCAAAATCTGATTCTGGGAGCTAGAGATTTCCCATCCAGATTGGCGAGAGCTGACGCTGTCCGTTTTTGAACCAAATTCTGGCCAAAATACAACACTGTTTGCGAGAATATCACAAGACTCGGGTTCAATGGAAAGGAGCGTATGATAGTGGACTCACCTTCCTGAAGTCAGCAGTAAAAAGGTCGAAACAAAATAAGAAACTTGGAACATGCTCCTCTCGTTGGGAGGATGAGGTGAGCTTCCCTTCCTTTAATCCTTGCGTTTGGATAGGTTTTTTGATGATCTCGCTTCCGGCTTTCGAATGGATGAGTTGAAAGAAGGTCTTGTCATTGGGCCATGTTGATAAGAGGTATTTTCTGAATTAGGTTATCTGGGGCGAAAGGAGTTCGAGCCCTTGAATTGGGGGCGTTTAGGCTTAGGGGAAAGTCCTCAATTCCTGATCAGGACTGTTTCAAATGATCCAGCACTGCGTCTTCCTCCTGAAAATTATTAAAAGGGGAGCCAGACTGAATACGGATATTTTCATAATCTGCTTAAGGACCATCATATGGGTGAGCTTGAAGAGGTTATCTCGTCTATCTTCAGGTACATAAGACGACATTTCCTACACGAGTTGATGAGTGTGTGAGGAGGATTTTTTCCCATAAAGAATAGAAGGAGAAGGGCTTAGCCGTCTCTCCCCAGCTTGTTACGCTGGCATCGCATGTCCAAGTGAATGACTGTAGGCTGCGGAAATTATATTTTTGACGAAGTGTGTGCTCGGGGAATTGTCCCGGGAGTTTTACCACCAGTAAGCAACGTAGCTAAGATGGCGGGTGATGTCAGCAACGGCATCGTTGATTTTCTGATTCGTCCCTAAACCGTGAAAAATAAAACCTCAAAGGTAAGAACAAAGACTCACGCACACCTTTGAATCCATAATAAATTAATAACGAACGTTACAACAACGTTATATCTATATGTATATCCAAAAAAGAATTCTTTCATTTTTTTTTATACCAAAACACGTTTCGGAAAACGAAAACGTACTGGAGAACCTCGTGACCACCGCCAGGATCCTAATCCGGCATGAATATGAGTTCCCTTTATACCCTAAAGAAGACACTGACAATCAATCTTTCTTGTTCGTAATTCTTTTTCTTCCCCCAATAAACTTTTCCATAAATTCACGTCAAGCCAAAGGCACAGAGATAAAATAGTTCAATAACTCAGCAGACTTCTGTGATGAACCGCAATCAATGATTCTTGTTCGTAATTCTTTTTCTTCCCCCAATAGATTTTTCCATCAATGTTTACTCGGTCGAGAGTGAGGTT